CTTTAGATATTAATTGTGTAATACTTTTTTTTCATTGTTACTGTACTGTAATATGGATAATAGTTTTGTTTTTATTACTTTGTATTATTAATGTTCAATAGTTTATTTTATAGTAAACTAGCTTACCTGTCGCGCAAGAAGAAACGAAATTCAAGCAAACTCGTTATAATAAAATTCAATTTACATTTCATCATTTTTATTGAAACTTATTATTATTATATTATTATTACTCATTTTCATCGGGAAAACATTTCAAAGTGTCATTTCAATTCCGTTTATTTATTGGAGTGGTTGTGGATACACAATATTTTTTGTTTTTTCATCTGGTGCATACACAAATAAATCAGAAGGTTTTCTGACGAGTGAGCTAGCCACATACAGTTGTCCATGCAAGAAGCATGGATTCTCCAAATCTAGCCTACACGCTTGCAGCGATTGTCAGAAGTGCGATATTCCCCATTTTTATATATTTTTTTTAATNGTTAAGCTAAGAATATCCTTATAAAACTGCTTATTGTAATCAGATTTTCAATTATAGTTATCAGATTTTCATTTCATCTTCATTCTTATCAATAGGCATTTTAACTTGTTGAACCTGATTATTTGAAAAAACGTGACTGATAAATGAAAACGCATATATTCATAAAACATTATTTTATATAATAATTCTCATATACTGATATATTGTTAAATCAAAGCATTCTTTTAGTTTTATTTCCAAAATAGTGATTTATTGTTAATCAATAAGGCATTTTGTTGGCTGTACACTTACTTTTTATGAATATGAGTAATTTTTCCAGCATTTAAGGTCTTATTATTCATTTGTCTAGATTTAGTGTCTCTTTAGAGAATAGTGAAATTGTTGAACAATCCTTACTTGGTAAGATCTGTTTTTAGTTTTCTATAAAACACTCCCAAGATCATTTCCATGGAAAATTGATGACAGAAATATAAAGAGATTACTGTATTAGTCATAAAACAGTTATGTAACAACATAAATAAGTGTCATGCCCTATAGTTCCATAGTTCCAAAGAATTTTCTGCTATATCTTTGGCTTTTATTAATACAGAAGTGTTTCTAGAGTACAGAAAATGCAATTTATATATATGTATATTTTAATAATTGATTATTAAAATTTGGCAAAGGGGGTCCCTAGATAGGTAAAATAGGCGAATTTCCTCCTACAACTTCGGTTATTGTTAGGGATACAGTTAAGGTTTTAACAAAGTTCATGCGAATACATAATTAACAAAAAATAGTTGAAATAAAGTGATTAAACAAAAAATTATTACAAATATTGTAAATAACAGTTCACAAATGCATATATAGAGAGATTTTTTGGGGGGGGAATGGTCTTCACAATTTGAAATCGATTGAACTCACAATGAAATGCTCTTATACATGCGTACCATCTATTGTAGGATAAATGTACTATGCCAGAAATCTTTGTGGGAGTATATTAAACAACTTCCCAAAGTTTCATGGCAATCGGATAAATGGTGTGGTAATGCATGAAGGACATACAGACAGGCAGACATACATTCATTTTTATATATATAGATTAAATTATATATAACTTTTTCTGATAGAATGTTTATTTGGATTCTGTTCTAATTTCAGAGTTTTAAATTTTGAAAAATGAAATTATTTGTATTTTTTTAAGTTATTTATTTTACAATTTAGTATTGAATTTTAAGTTTATGACTTTTTCTCTCATCTACATTAACGTGCAGGATTCATTATGGTAATTATTTTGTAATGTAAAATTTTGGAAGAATTTTCATACAACAGTTCATAAAGTTAGTTTGATTGTAAAAACTTTTTTCAAAATAAACTGTTTATAAAGAACATTGAAATAACTTCAAAACTTCAAAAACATTTTTATTCTGAATATAATCTTGTATTTAAAATGCTTTGAAGAAAGATAATTAAAAACTCTTATTGCAGGATTATATTTCTCACAATTTTACATCTGTCTTACTTTCCTCTTGAATTGTCATCATATTGAAAAATTTCATTATACTAAATAAAGATGCAAGAAAATGCTTGTTTAAGGCTAATGAAAAGTTTTTCAACTTCCCTACAGACATCATTAGCTTCCCTCACTGTTCTATAACATTTATCACGACTAATGATGGCTGCAACAAAGACAAAAGCTTTTTGATATATTCTAACCCAATGGTATCAAATTTTGTACACTTTGATTATTGCACTGCGTTATGTGTATTTATGTATTACTTTGTTCTTATAATAATAATAATAGTAAATAGCAAATATATAGTGAATTTTACTTAATACAATATACAGATATATTTGATGTATTGTGCTTCAGATTTCATTAATTGATAATGTGATATACAGTCAGTCCTCAACTTCTGTAAATTCAACTTAACTAAAATTTTGTTTGAACTCCATCATAAAAAATTTATAGAAAATCATGCGTACATTAATGATTTTTGCATCCTTGTATCTGCATTCTGTAGAAAATAAATGCAGGATTTGACTGGGTTGTCAAAACTATGTGAATGGAATATCTCTATAAGCCAAGTGTTAAAAAGTACAGTCATACAACATTTATTGTGTGTATATTGTAATTCATTTCTGTTTTAAATTAAGCACGCTTTTGTGTAATTTTTACTTTCCCAGATGTTACATATAACAGAGGAAAAGTATGGCAATCAGTGAAAAATGACCCCCCCAAGATTTTTACATTTTTGGACTAGGGACACCTTGAAACATGAAGAAATGCCAAAAAAAATTGGGGTAATTCTGTATGTATGGATTTTAGTGTATGTGTATGTGGGGCATGATTTTGTTCACCCTTTTTGAATCTTAATAACTCCCATGCTTTTTGTTGAAAATTTCTGAAATTTTGCAGGGATGTTTGCTTATTAGGAGGATTAATGCTTAAATTTTGGTGGTTAAATGTTGAAGGGGTGAGGAGATGATGGAAGTCATGTGTATCTCCAGTAGGGTTGGACTTAATGACTATTTTACTCGTTATTAGCATTTACAATTTTTTTTATAGAATTCATCCTTACGCTCAAAATGAAGGTTTTTGCCATTTTATTAGGTAACCAAAAAAGTTCTGTCGTTTTTTGTGAAACTACAAAGTTTAAAGAATGTTACATGCAATACACAATAGATGACACTAAAATTCCAGCAATATGTTAATCAAGATTTAATGCTGACTCACCTTATATAAACAGAAGTATAAAGGTTATCTTTTAATATTATAAAAATTGACTTGAAGATGAGTACTCCAAACTCTGTAATTCATGCTTGTATGTTGTATGAGTTTAAACTTGGAACAAGTGCTGTGCAAATGGCTCAAAAAATATGCCAAGCTTTTGGACAAGGTTCTGTTAGCACTCACACCACCCAAAGATAGTTTACAAAATTTTCTTCCGGCAATGAGTCGCTTAAAGATGCGCCATGAGAATGATGTTGAATTACAGGCTGCAATCGAAGAATATTCTGCTCAAACTTGTCAGATGTTAGCACAAAGGTTCTCCGTAAGTGATGAAACTGTCCGTTTACATTTGCATTGTCTTGGGAAAGTTTACAAGCTCAGTAAATGGATACTTCATCAATTGGCACCTGCCAATATTGTGCATATGGTGGACTGCAAATGGAATTGTTCACTATGAACTTATACCATCTGGCCAGACTATTACTGCTAATGTCTACAGTGACCAACTGCATTGAGTTCACCAATCACTTTTGAAAAAACCACCAGCTTTAGTGAACCATAAAGGCGTTCTTTTCCTACACAATAATGCTATAGACATCATGTTGCGCGTGTGACCTCTGACACAATTCAGACCCTTGGATGGGAACCTCTTTTGCACCCTCCTTATTTCCCTGACATTAGCCCTTCTGACTATCACCTATTTTTAAGCCTAGATAATCATCTGCGAAATTGACAGTTTAGAAATAGAGAGGTTATAGAAACGGAATTAGGGAAGTTTTTCAACTCTAAAAATCGTGACTTTTATAAAAATGGAATTTATAAGCTTGTTTCCCGTTGGGAACAGGTTATTGAATGTGAGGGTGGTTATTTTGATGAATAAATTGTGTTATTTCCTATACATTTTTATGTTTGTTTTCTTTCAACAAAAAACGACAGAACTTTTTTGGTTACCTGATATAATAGTTGAAAATATAAAGTTTTTTTAATAAAATATGATAACATATGGTGCCACCAAAATTTTAAATATTGCTGGGAAAGTTGAGTAACTCGTTGCTGATTTATTTTCTTGTGCACAAGATAACAAAAAAAAATTGAATTTTATGTCTTTTTCTCCTAACTAATCTTTATCTCATCTATTTACATCTTGTTGAATATTTCTCTCTAGCTTCAGTCTAGTTCAATATGTATAGTTGTGAGTGCTGCATAAGCATTTAGAGAAATTCCAGTTTGTGTAAAATTGAACTTGAACAAAGTTTCATGCTCTTACATAAGATGGGGAGTGATTGTATATGAATTGATGAATATCTTTTACATTATTATTTTATTAAAGAAGATAGTTTATCATAAATAAGCAAATCAGTACTTTTTTGAACAGTGCACTTTAATTTGTATTGAGAGTTTATAATTATCATTATCTGAATAATTATTAAGAATTGTAAATGAATTAATTTATAATGAAGTATTTATTTATCTAAAAGTTTTTTGTCAAAAATGTAAGTATTTCAGTGCTGTTTTCTATTTTTTTCTTTTTTTTTTATTGCTTGACGTTTTCAATATATTTTTGTACTATTTTATTAAACATAATATTAAATTACAGATGATTTTAAAATGTTTTTTTTTTAAATTAATTATTTATATAACTTTTAAGTTGATATTATGTAATTATTGCAGAAATTTTAAATGGCCAAACAACTTTTTATTCAAAACAAAAATTGTAATAAGTGTGAATTTATAAAATTCACACAGAAATTTTAAAATATTATTTACATTTAAATATATTATAATATGAATTTTTATTCTTTTTAGTTCCAAAGGAGGGACAGGAAAGGGTAAGAAAAATCAAAACTGGTGTACAGTTTGTGAATGTCCGTTTGTTGGAAATTTCTTGTCCCATCGTCGTACTAAAGAACATCGGGTAATTGATTGTCTCTAGTTTAAAAAGATAACTTTTTTACAATGTTTTCATAATTGTAGCTGAGCAAAAACTGTAAAAAAATATTAGCTGAGGTTATTTAAAACTGTTTGGTATGCCTAGGCCCTTGTAATATACACTGCAATTTAACCACCCAACTATTTAAAACTGAACATTATTAGGTTACATTTGCTTCCTAAGATATAGACTGAGAAAAAGTGACAGTATTTTACTTATTTTAAAGACAAAATAATCAATATTTGTCCAGCTCTTATTTGGTATTTAGTATTTTTCAAAACTAAGTTATACTTTACATATTTAACACTGTTAACCAGAAAGGTATAGTTCGTGTCACTGTCTACAGGAGAAACAGAGATGTGTGCTAGGGAGCCCAAGGTGAAGACCCATCCCATATTGAGAGTGATGAAGGAACATTCGAAAATACTAATACAGACTAGTCAAATTTAAACTTATTGGAACCATTGACTTTTAATTTGGCGCTGCAATATGGTTGTGAAAGAAGTGCCATGAAAGCAGGGAACAACTTAGTAATTTCAAATGGAACTCCTAATCATTTTATATTTCTGTATTCTTTATTAAAAATAATAAACTTTTATTGAGAAAATTTTCTAAAAAGAAAATGGCAATTTAAAAAGTTATGAGCATATGTATATATACATTTTGAATGGTTAACAGTCTAATAAAAATCCAAATTCTATGAGGTTTCTTAAAGGATCAATTTTCGTTCCAAAAACCAACTATGTTTCAAGAATGAATTGTGCTCAAGTTGAAAAAAATAAAGGAACAGAAATTAATTAGCTCATAAAGTTGCATTTTTTTTATTAGACCATTATCTTTCAAAATGTACTGTACGGTACAGTCGACAGCAAAAGTAAACTGTCAGCTGAATTTAGAATATATTATTTTATAGATACATATGCATGGTGCATTTCAGATCGTTCACATTTATTTATTTTTATGAAGAATTTTACTTATTGTATCAAATATATCTTAAAATACAGTAGAACCTCGATTATTTGCCCTAATTGGGGACTGGGGTTGGTCGGATAATTGAAAAGTCAGATAACCGAAAAGTATGAAAAAATCCATTATTAGTGTAGTATATTATTATATCCCATGTAATTAGTATATTAGTATATTACTATATCGCTATTAACCTATTTTGCATTGAATTTTCATTGATGTTAAGCCTAACAAAAATTTTTTAAAATAATAATCGTCGCTATTGTATCGTTAAAAATTAGAAAATTAAG